TTGTTACTACTAGTAAGGCACTTGTTACTACTAGTAAGGCACTTGTTTCTACTAGCTTTTTGCTTAGGTATGCTTATTCTTGTTTCTACGTTCGCTTCTTGTTACTACTAGTAAGGCACTTGTCACGAATGAAGCGATGCACTTGTTCCTAGTAGCGAACATTGTTCATGCCTAGAATGTTATTCCACAGTCTCATGCATGCAAGGTGATTTACACATGTTTAACTGCCGTCAGTCCCAACTACGCAACCTGAGCGCAAAGGCAAAACTTCAGACAAGTACTCCGATTAGATGAGTTGTCTCGTACAGCAGGTCGAGGCATGATATCGCCGAATTTGGGACTTTCTCTTGTGTGCATTCAAGGTCCTCACTCATGTTTGAACTACGAAACACAGTGATGCGCAGAGTTAGATCCCCAGTTTTGGCGCAACCTTCGCAAGCAGTGCTGCGACCTTCGGGGATCATTTCACATAAGGTGGTTGAAAGTCTGAGACAACCCTTTCCAGTGAAAGTAAACATGGGTGCGCCATCTGAGTTCAATAGAAGTATGTGAAGATCGTGTGGTTCTGAAGGAGTATATCACAATCTTCAGAGGCACGTGTAAATATATATATATTATATTGTGAGTGTGCACCCCTGAGTCTTCTGACATGTGTTAAATTCCTCTTTGCTTTGGGCTGTAGTCATAGTTCTGCAGCCAGCGAAGACGGCTATGACATTCTGTGATATCACTGGAGACGTCCAGTGACGTAGTTGCGTTTAGACGTGTACGCCCCACTTGGTCCCGTTCAGAGGCATGTAGAACAAGAACTTTGGCCTTTGCATCGATTTGCTCGCTGCAGTCACGCTGCGAGCAACTGTGGGGCCGTTGAGACCTTTGAGACTTTCATGGTGAGGCTTCTCATGGCTGCACTCCTTGGGAAGATAGAGAGCAGACAGACTTGAGATTGCGAAAGCCCTCTGCAGATTTTGTGTGTTCACACTCGCAATGCTGAGCTTTCTCAGACTCGCAATGCTGAAAACCACACCAGAGAGAGGACACGGTTTCCGACCATACCTGAGAAACCAATCTCACAAATGGCCGAGAAAAACAACAAGTGTCAAGCATCACCGATCTCAGCCGTCCAGAAAGATGCAGGTGCTTAAGGAGGTGTTCCTTCTTGCTTCGCCAGCTCTGGGGCCGCCGTGCACCGCTTCGGACGAGGCGCCAGTCGTTGGACCCGCTTCCTTCGCCCGCGGGGCCTGCGCATCGGGCGCCCGAACCGTTGGTCCTTGACCCGAATGCACCGGTCCGTTGACCGGTGGCCGAGGGGCCGAGGGGCCGTGAGGAACACGAAAGCGAAAACGCTGCAACGTGTCGGAAAACGCTACTGGATCAGGGCTCGTTGCTGAAGTTGCCCTCTACTGTTTGAAGTGTGTGTGTGTGTCAACATCTGTAACTAAGAGTTTCAGCTACCTCCCACACGTTCAAGCAGGGGGCTAGCGGCCCATTTCTCGACGCTAGCCAACGAAGCTAGAGAAATGGGTTGATGAGTCTGTGGACGCACGGACTTGTACCTGCGCGAACTTTTGCACAAGCTGTCACTCCAGTTTTCTCGCTTTGATTCATGGTGGTTCCACGACACTTCCCCCAAACCTTTTTCCTTCAGCCGCTTTCAGCTGCCGCGCGTTTCTGCAGTCACACAAAAACAATGTTGAACAATACTTTTCCACGGACTCTGCCACCTTTCCGTTCCATCGCCATTTTTCCTGGGAATTGAGCGAACTGAAAACCAATATCAGAGTGTGACTCGCTCAGTCGTCCCACTTGGGTGCTGGGTGTGATCCTCCGCAAGGAGGCGCCGTTTTCATTCCGGACTATCGTGTAACAGACTCAGACTGTTTCCTCCATGCGTTGCATTCTCTTAACTGATGCGTCGGGCCCAGTGTTCAGCAGCTGCAACAGACGATTTCCAGCAGAGGACTCTATCTCGATGCAGTTCTCTTGGCCATATCCTTATGCTCCGGCCACCTCAACAGGCTCGACCACCACCAGGCTATCCCATTCCACAACATATACCACCGGCGATCACGCATTACCCTCCGGCCACCATGCCGCCACAACCAGCATGGCCACCTACAGTCCCACCTCAGTTTCAGCCAACACTCCCGCCAACTCTTCTTCCACCTCCACATTCAACACCTACCTTTCCTGTCACCTACAGTTTTCCCACAGGAACCGTGACTCTGCCCACTTCACCCACGGCAGTACCACATCCCGCACCCATTGCAGTCTCTCCACCACCCAACCATCCCACGCAATTCGCTACCACTTTCTCGTGGGATCCACAACAAGGTGTTTGGCAACAACAACCTTTTTCAGCTTTCCCACCAGTTGTGCAACCAGAACATGCCACCACCACTGATAAAGACCCAACACTAAACCAGATCTTTCTACACCAGCTGCTGCCGCCACATCCGTACCAACAGCGCCAGCCACAGCTCCAGCACCAGTTCCACCGGACTCCACCGAACCTCCAGCTCTTCCATCACAGCCTTCCACTGACGCCACGACAGAAACAGCCAAGCCACCACCATCCACTCCAGCAGGATCAGCTCGATCAGATGCAGCTGACTCCACACATCCCACAGACCCACCACCAGCTCACCCAACACACCACCGGCCTCGCCGCCACCGACACCATGGCCGCCGACGACGTCGGCATCGCCACCGCAGAGGCCACTCTGATCGTCACTCGAGCCGCAGAACTCCGCACAGCTCTCACACCCACACATCTTCACGCCGCCGCCCCTCATCCTCCTACACATACTCTTCATATTCACGCAGCCGCTCTTTGTCCCGCAGCCGCTCACGCCCAGCCATTTCCCTGGTCCCCAACACAGACCTCTTACACCACGACTCTTCCTCAGCCAATCCACAAGGCAACTACCCCAACCACCCCAGTGTCCGCCGTGTCCTCGACCAATGGAAAGCTCCACCACATTTCAGCCAGAAAACTCCACAAGAGCAACTCGAAATTTGGATGGACTATCATGCGGCACAATTCGACACTCCAAACAAACTTCACCACGCCTACATTGCCCGCCTCCTGCTGGACAGCGGCATCACTAACAAAGATGCGTGTGATTATCGTCAGTTCACACATATCAAGTGGAACCCCACGTCAGAACAATATGACCTTTTTCACTTCAACCACATCTCCATCCCCACGCTCTCCCACAAAGCACACCAACGTTTTCCACCCGCAGCCACTCGTGCCACTTCCACCTCCGCAACCACGACGAAACCTCCTTGGCGGTGGTTGCGGGCCAGACGCGGAGCCTCTTCGGAGCTTTGACATCTGGTGCGAATTCAGTCTTGAGACAGTTACTTTTTGAGAAGGAAATAGAAAGTAAAAAGACAAAAAAGGGAATATCAAAAAGAGCCAAAAGAAAAAGACAAAAGAGAAGTTGAAAAGAAACAAAGTGACTGGACACAAGATGCTGAAGCACACAAAAGCGCTTTAAAGCGGCAAGATGTCCTGCTAGTCACTTCTGACAGTAGTTCTAAGGAGGGGGGTGATTCGACCGGTACTCGGGTTGTTCGTCGGTCGGGTGGTTGGTTTGTTGTTGGTCGTGTTGGTTCGCTCTTTTGGTGGTTTTCTTTGTTTGGTTCTGTTGTTTCCTGTACCGCTTCCACCAGCTCCTTGGACTTAATCATAAATGGCTACAACTACAGCTTTAGCGCCATGCCGGTGCTGGGTGACAACGAGAGCTTTCCTTGCAGTGGCCGCTACTTTCCCTGCATCGCAAGCGACTCTCACATGCAATTCAATGACTTCAGCGTTTGGACTTGGGAGCCTTGTACCTTGGGTGTGGGTACCCTCGGCTTCCTGGGGTGTTCTTGCTGCTGCTGCATATTTCTGTTAGGCAAGTGCTTCCGTTTTCAGACGAAGAGGCGAAAATGGCAACGCACTCACGTTTGGTGTTTGAATAAGTTTCACTTACTTTTTGGTGTTCACCCTTTCGTTTTGGGTTGTCGCAAGAGCAAACAGGCTCCTGTGCTGAAGGAAGGTACTCGGAAAGTCGCCTCAAAGCCACGCCTCCCCAGGCTAGCCTGTTTCAAGGATAAAAGGGTTGGCGCTTCGCTTTTTCAAAGGAAGCAGCGGACCAGCTCAATAACCCGAGCCAGCTCGAAGCAGAAAGCTGCCTCAAAACCACGCCTCCCCAGCTTGACCTGTTTCCAGGCTAGAAGGGTTGGTGCATCCCGCTTCCGCGATCCGAAGTTGACCTATCGAAAACATGTGCAAAACATCATTTATGCTCGACGTTTCTATTGGATGCTTGGCAAAGGCTTTACTCCTCTCAAATGCTTTGAAAAACAAAGTCGGGGTTGCTGTTCAGACTGGACCAAACATGCTTGAACCCTGTAATCACGAAAACCAGCGTTTCTCTCCAAGGGCTTTCTTCCATGGAGGGGCAGGAGGCAGTACTGCTACGGCAAGACGCCGTCAGGAAAAGATGCTGCTTGAAGGTCTCAAAGAACTTTTGGTTCAAACCAGCTCGTTCACGGAGGGTACCAAGCAGGAAACTACCTATGGAAAGGCAAGAGGTCGAAGCCCGCGGAAGTCTAGGAGCCCTTCTCCCAGATCTCGCTCTCCCTCCCCTGCCTGGCACACAGTTCGCCCGAAGAAGAGAGGAAAAGGAAAAGGTTACCCAGAACCTGAACACCCGAAATCCATCCTGAAACCTCAAATGGATTCCCGGCAAGTTACCTTCCATGAGGACAACAACCTGTTGGAAAGCTTGAAGTCCTTGATTCTCAAATTCGAACAAGGGAAGCAACTTGACCTGTTAAGTGGTTTGGCCGGTTTGGTTAACAAGTTTTCTTCTCTCCCGGACCCTCCCCGTGGCCCGCCCAAAAAACAGCTACCTGCGCCCGCCTACCTTCCCGGTCCACAGCCCCGACTTGCTGTCCTGGCCAAAGGAAACGGTAAACAAGGTGGGAAAACTGTCTCAACCGCTAAACCTAAAAACTTCGCTTCTAGGTTCGACACGGGGGGGTGGAAAACTGCTCACACTTCCACCCGACAACTTTATGATAAACTGGACCAAGGAGATGAACCCAACGGAACGGTTGCCTGCGTCTCAGAAGAAGACTGTGAACAGCTCAGGGCTCTTGCACAAGCTCAGGAAGTCAAGACCAAAGTTGCTCTGATCGTCACTGATACTCACCCTGAGGCACCTGTTGACTCTACAGGTGTTGTAAAATGGTGTCGGCTTTCCGGTGGACATTGGAAACAATTTGTTGTTTTCCCTCTGGCAGACGAACTGCCGAAATGGCCGGAAGAACCACACATAGCTGAAGTCACTGAAGCCCCTGCTAAAGTTGACTTGATTTCGTTCCGGGTTCTGTTCTGTAAACAATTTTTGACCCCTGCTGATTGGAACATTGGATTAAAGAAGCCGGTTGATCTGTTGATTAAGTCACTCCCAGAAGGTTGATCTGTTCGATCGGTCATTGGCTATTTCAAGGTCCCCAAGAAGGATGCCGATGGATTCTCTTCTCGTTCTGGGTGGAAATTTGGTATTTACCAAAAGCTCAGCGAAAACTCAGGTGGCTCAGATCGAGAGCCCATCAAATGGATCGCCTAGCGCTTACGTTGCCCAGGTCGGAACCATGGCCACTAAACAGAAAGTTGGGGTCATCTTGAGAAGAGGTGGTCGGAACAATCTGGTCAACCTGCGCAGGAGATGGGCTGTCAAGGGGGTCCCGAGCGATTGGGGCCCCAGTAAGCCCAAGCTGCCCGGGCGAATCCACAATATTCGCCAACACACACTTGTGGACCAATGATGCATGCGATCCGCACACAGCAGGCTCACCAACACCATCCTTACCAACCATCTCCCACTCAGCAAACAACCACAACCTCCCCTCCGGCGCACCACGAGTTCCCACCACCACCTCCGCCGCCTCCCGCCCCCGCAGCTCCAGTCACCCCCACAGCCACTTCTTTCAAACACCGCCCAACACACTCTACTCCCCCGGCGCCTCCGCCCACGATTCCTTTCCCCAACCAAGCCACCCAGCCAGGACTCCTGGCGCCCCACCGACATTCATTGGGACGCCAATGCCCTCCACGGACATCAAGGTCTCGCCGTGTTGGCGTTGCAGGCCTTCCAATTTTTGACGTTTACCCATGGCTCCTGGACGGCCGATTACACGGCCCGCACTCTCAGCCACGGCAAGTATTGTGGGCTTATCCCCACAAGAAGCATTGCCGAGTCCGTATTCACCACCCATTTGCTCCAAGACATTGGGGACAAACGGCTTGACCTCGATGCTATCGCCGAGGCCCTCCACACAGCAAAGGGAACTGAGATTCCCAACAAGACCACTCAGGCCAGGGCATACCATGCACCACTTATCGCACTCCTCACCCAACAACTTGAGGCCCACGCCCCTGCTGCAGCTGAAGGCTAGGCACTGCGCCCTGAAAGCCACCACAGATGACTTGGAACGAGCCCAAGCGAAGCTCCAAGCCCATGGCCTCCACCTCACACCTCGCAAAGACGCCGCCCGCCGCTTGACGGCCCCATCAGCGCCTGCACATCCCACAGAAGCCCCCACTCATCAGCCTCCTGCCCTCACAGACGTGCTGCAACCTCCCCACCCATCACTTAAAGATGATGTGCCGGACGCATGGACCACTGCAGCCGTCCAGGCTTGGGTCTCCACATTTGATATGGAAATCCACGAATCCGCAAAGGAAGTCGTTCGCATTTTGCAAACCAGCAAAGTCACCACCGAAGGTCTGCCGCTCGCCAAGCTCGGCCGTGTGACCATCAAGTCCCTCCAGAGCCTTGTCAGCATTGGCGCTGCCCTCGCCTGTTGACTTAGCATACTCGGCCAGCAGTCACCCAACTCGAACAACACGCAACATCTTTTCCACCTACGCCGTGCCCTTTCCACCCTTATCCACCAATCTCAAAACATCGAACGCGCTGACGCCCTTTTCGCCACTGGTCTCATACATCTCACACTCCTTTTCACCTACCCTTCCCCCACTCACCGCTCTCAACAATGGCGGAAGCGCTTCCGCCAACTCCACATCCTCCCCCAATGACACTTACCACTTCCACAACTTCCTTTCTCCCAACTCAGTCTACGTCAAGCTGCAGTTCAACACTCAAGCGCCTCACCAATGTTATCACCAACATGGCCACTTCTACATCGGCTCCACTGCCATTGGCATCCCCCACCGCGAACACAATTGCCGTGCCAAGCTCAAGCAACTCCAAAACAACATTCCAGTCTCAGCCGAACTTTCCCTACGCTATTGGCATGCTCACAACAACATTGACCACTACACCATTCAGCTCTCTTCCCATGACAACTACGACCAGGCCTGGATACATGAACACAACCATATCTCCAACTGGATGGCCCCTCTCAACTGGCCCTTCATTTCACACCACCTCAAGCTCAAAGCCCAAGGATGGCAATTCACCAAACACCGCGCTCACGCTTAGCCACACACGAGCGACTGTTCCGTCGGCTACGCCGACGACAACACACCCTTCGAGAACCACACCTCTTCACATCCACAAAACACCACGCCCTGACTGTCCTACGAAACCTCACCAAACATACATCAGCCGCGTTTGAAGCAGCAAAACAACTCCGCAGCGGCCACACAGACTTGGAAGGTCTATGCCATTCGGCGCATGGCCGCCAATCTTGAAGAGCCAGGCAGGACCCGAGCCCTTCACATTATCCACCAAGCACTCAAATACCGCAACCTGACACCCCCACGACCAAACATCCCCATCACTGTCCAATTCCTCGCTCACGATGACACACCCAGCAATGGCTGCAAACCACCATCCAGCAAGACAAGCATCTCGCCATTCCTTTACATTTACCCACTCACAGACTTCGGGAAGCAGCTCACAAGACGCCTCGAACCCAGCTACACAACCATCGAACATGGGAGGAGACGCTCCACACGCCTCCGGATCCAGCTGCTCTCCCCTGTGCACGCACCCATCTCAGTACTCTTCTCCTCCACCCAGACACGCCCACTACCGACGGACATTACATTCTTATTTTCTCGCTTTGATTCATGGTGGTTCCACGATACTTCCCCCAAACCTTTTTCCTTCAGCCGCTTTCAGCTGCCGCGCATTTCTGCAGTCACGCAAAAACAATGTTGAACAATACTTTTCCACGGACTCTGCCACCTTTCCGTTCCATCGCCATTTTTCCTTGGGAATTGAGCTAAATGAAAACCAATGTCAGAGTGTGACCTCTCATTTATCTCAATCCATTCACAAGAATGCTCGCAAATGATGTGTGCTTTCAGATGTGTCATGTCGTGTGTGCTCTCTCATCACTGCGTTCTTCCAGGCAAGTGCTTGAAAATATGTGTGCATGTGCTCTCACCTTTTTGTTCTCATGGTTTCTCATGTAAAAGACAGCCTGGCTGGACGCTATCTCTCTTTTGGACAGCTTGTGGTCCTCTTGGAGCCATGGTCGACCCTGTGCCTTCGCAGAAAGCTAACCTCACCAGTACCACATGAGTCTCACACATGGTACGCCCTTTCTAGCTCTCAGCCTCGAAAGGGCGTTACCAGCACATGTTCAGCAGAAAGAGATCTCAAGACCCTGAACCCTTTCAGCCGTCGTTGTGGTAGACCCCCGTTACGGCCTTTGCACGAAAAACACCGGGCGCCAACGTTGATTCACAAAAGTTTCAGAATATGCACCTCGCATTGCACATCATCACACATGCATGACGTTCCAATGGTTGGAATATTGAAAACTGTGCCAACTAGTTTGGCTGCGGGATTGTGGTTGCTAAGCCGTGACGGAAGTGGTAAGCCGACCTCCGCACATCAGCGCTGCAAACTTCTTGTGGAAACCAATAGTCATGTTCCAACGCAGCAACATCACATAGTAAAAGTCTGTTGTTGACCATGGCGCCACACTTGCCCCCGTGACATCGTCTTGGACCTGGCAATACCAAGTAAACAGCTTTGGTCAACTCCCAAAGCAACAAGGGTGGGTTTGTTCTTGGTAGTTTGTGCGGCCTTTTTCTCCCTCTCCACTGGTCTTTGGTCTTTGGGGGAATTCCATTTCAAAAAATCAAATCACAATGTCCACCACGTCGACAGGTTGCAAGCCCTGGCATCTCACTGGCAAGAGATGGATCCCCCATGTTCAGTCATCATGAAACCGAATGAAACAATTTGCCTTGATACTTCATTTCAGCCAAGGTCTACTGCAAGAACATGGAGGCCCTGGGGGGGTGCCTCGCCAGCTTCCTTGGTCCTTTGCTGGTCGAAACCGTGTCTCCCTTCGCCCCCTTCTTCGTGAGCACCGCCTTGGCCACAGTGACTTGGGCGGAGAAACTGCCCAAGTCGTTTCGAACCGTTCATCATGGCAGCTTCGAGGTGGTCTTCCCGAATTGATGTGTTTGATGAAAAAACCACCCTGGTGGCCTTGACGTCCATCAAGTAAATAGACGCGGCCTAAGTTTGGGTGGTTTGAATTGTGAATGTGGGTCATAACAAAACGGAGCATGTGGACACGTCAATGAGCCGCTATGACTGAGGGAGATTCAGATGCCAAAAATTCTGTATTCACATCCCATATGATGGCGAGATGTGTGTTTTTAGGGTGCGATGGTCTTGTAAATTGGCTTTGTGCACATGATTCTGACATCGATGTAAGTCGAGCCTACAGATCTCTATGTTGTTTCTCTTTGTCTCTCCCTCTCTCTTTGTTTAACTGTCTGTCCGTCGGTCTGTCTGTCTGTCTCTCTCTCTCTCTCTTTCTCTTTCTCTCGTTTGACAAACAATGTTACTGATCTTCAGATGAAGGAATCGGAAGGCATGTAGAATGTAGAAACATCTCCCCAAACGTCACCTTGACTCATGGGCATGCGCGCGTACGTTTTCGCATGGGGCCTTTTTCCGCTCAAGAAATGCTCACGTCGAATCCTCGAGGTGAGCAGATTCTCCACCCCGAACCGCCGTTCCCCCAGTGGTTCCCAAAGACGAGGTCACGCGTGGCGGCTCTTTCAGCAGGTGACCTTTTGGTGGGTGTTCACGTCTTTCGGGTGTTCCATATGGCCAGTAGCGATGGCCTGGTAGATTCCAGATTGGCGTAGAAAAACCTTCCACGGAAGACTTTTCCGCTCAGGTGACTTTCATCCTCTTCACCTTGGGCTTCTGCCACCGCTTGGGCTTCCCGCCCGACATCGAAGTGGCCGAAGCAAGACGTGCCCGTCGCCTGGGCCTGCGCCGGGTGAGTGCCTGGAGCGTGATGAGCCGGAAGAGCACGGTGATGATGGAGCAGGAGAGCAAGAGGCTGATGTGGGTTCGTATTTTTACACCCTCAAATCATACCACCCATTCAAAGATACACACCCATGTGTTTGCTGGGCACTTGGGGGCTTATCGCCGTGATGGTCATTGGTGCTGGTGGATTTTTGGGGATTTGTCCAGGGCAGGTGCCTGGAATGATCCACAGGTGAGGTTTCTCCCACTCCTGCTTATCCAAAACTCATATCTTCTACCAGGCCCAAGAATCATGGAATTGCTGTGTGATCGGTAGGGGTGACATACCTATAAGGGAAAGAGGCATCCTGCCTCCACGATCGTCCACGATGGTCGCACGCGATGAAGGCTTTCAGTTGGATGGCTCGGGTTGCGGATGCTTCACGCGAAACGAACGTTGCCTAAGGAAGGAGTGGAGGTCAGGGGATTTCTACATCAAAGACCTTCGCATGTTGTGACAATGAGTCATGCACTCAGGGTGTGGGTTTGGGGGTCCATCTACTGTTAGTACAAGTTCCTGCAAGTACGAAAAGTACAAAGGCAGGAAATCGAACAGATGGCAAATCGATGCAAGCTCCAATACAACTAAGATGAGAGCTTTGCCCTCAAGGGACCTTAAATGTTTCAATCGGATGTTTCCTTGTATGGGTCAGTTCCCCTCACAACTCCCAATTCCAGTTCGTTGATCATAGGTCTCCGTCTCCGTCTTCCGCTCGAGCGATGGAGAAACGGCGCGCAAGGAGCCATCGGCTGCTTGCACTGAGTCTGAGAAAGTGACCAGTGTTGCGGAGGTGCCGAGCTCGATCTCGGCTCCTGCTGGAGCATGGGGCCAGGCCACGAAGACCGCAGAGGTCTGACTAAGGCAGCTATGGCCTCCACCCTAGTAGCGATGGCCTCTACGGAAGCAGGGGGATGAGGCCACGAAGACCGCAGAGGTCTGACCAAGGCAGCTCAGGCAGTCGTGCAGACACTGAGGAGGGGGAGGAGGTCAATCGAACCCGATTGTGTGAGCCTCTCTTGGCTGGTCAAACCAGGATGACCGAAAGTGTTGGAGTTTGTTATATGGAGGACGAAGAGATTTGTACTCAGGAGAAGTACTAGAAGGGCTGATCTCTTAAGCTTTGTGATATGTTCTTTTGGTTTGACTAGATTTATGTGTGTATGCGCCGCCTAGGTCCTGGTATGTAGGTCGAATTGACTTCAAAACTAGACGACGGTTAACCCGAGAGCGAGAAAGGTGATTGTCAAGCAATTCCGAGTAAGGAAATAGTTCAAATCAAGTTGTCCAAGAGTCATGACTTCTTTATACAATCTGTTGCGAAGAAATTAGATCTAAAATATTAAAAGAAAAGATATGTAGAAAGAGAGAAAGAGAGGGCGGATGTGAAGGAGTGACAGTGTGGATGTGCAAGTGTGATATAGGATGTGAGTGTGTGAAGATGTAAATGTACAGAGGTGAGGGTGTGTAGACGTCGATGCGCAGATGCAACGGCAGCGCAACGTTGTCGGTCAGGAGCGCCAACCTTGGTGCATTTCTCGCTGCGCAAGCACAACGCTGAAGAGGTTCGAATCAAACTGATCTATGGCACACCAGCGACACGCCGCATTTACACCAGCGTGCTTCGCGCTCCCCAGTGGCACGGCGCCACGCAAACGCACTTTCCACCAAGGCCGCGCAAATCCGCATGGCACTGCGACATCACGAACGTACTGTCGCCACAACGTCTGTCACACACTACAAGCAATCATATCACACGCCGCCGCCAATCATCCCGCTCACCAGCGACACGCCGCGTTTACACCAGCATGCTCCGAGACTTCCTCCAAAAGTGAAGCGCCAAGTCTCCAAAACGAGCGTTTCTTCCGAGACTTCCTCCAAAAAGTGAAGCGCCAAGTCTCCAAAACGAGCGTTTCTTCCGAGACTTCCTCCAAAAGTGAAGCGCGACCAATTCAAAACGTACTCTCACCTGCATTTCGCGCCCTCGACAAGCACGATCTCCGCAGAGGGTTGCGCGCGCCAAACCCAAAATGCAATCTCACCTGCATGTCGCGCCCTCGACACGCACGATCTCCGCAGAGGGTTGCGCGGGACAAATCCAAAACGCAATCTCACCTGCTTTTCGCGCCCTCGACGCGCACGATCTCCGCAGAGGGTTGCGCCGGCCACGGCAAAAACGCAATCTCACCTGCATTTCGCGTCCTCGACACGCACGATCTCCCACCGCCCCCGGCCTCAAGAGAGAAAGAAAAGAAGAGCGACAGGATACGCAGATGTGAGATGTGCAGATGTGAAGATGTGAAGATGTAGATGTGCAGATGTGAAGATGTGAAGGTGAGCAGACATGTAGATGTGCAAATTTGTAGATGTGCAGGTGTGAAGATGTGAAGATGTAGATGAGACGTAGTTCTACAGATGCTTATTCGTTTTCGTAAAAAACCTTCACAGACGCTCTCGGGAAACAAGCATGTACTCTATTGAAGATTGTATGGATGGGCATGATGGGCAGAGCGGTTTGCTCGTCTTGGACCTTGGCGCATTGACTGAAGCCACTCGGCTGTAAAGCAGGCCAAGTGTTCTTCTTGGTAATGGATCCTCAGCTGCAAAATGTGTCCAGCTGTAAAGAATCTAAGGGTTGAGTTCGAGCTGTCAAGCAAAGTATGGTTTTGAATTTCAATTTGTCTTGTGAGCTTGGAATGTTCATATTGTTCAAGCTAATGGTAGGTAGAAAGTTGTCCAAAAATATGCACGTTCCTCGATCTTTTTTGTTTGCAGCCATCAGTTAATGATGCCAAATGAACGCAACCTGAGCTGGATGCTGTGAGCCTCTTTTCCGCTTCATGTCTCCGCTTGGTCCTGGGTGCTTTGCTTGAGAGTTAGGGT